CCCTATTACTGATTGTCCATTGTCCCGAGGCAAACACACTCCAACCATCAAATTTACAACAGAACCTAGGGGAGTAATTAACTTTTGAATCATACAATCCCACAATAAATGGACCCTTCCGTTATTACCAATGCACTTAGAATGAACAGCCTGGTGAGGAGGCATTGCCTGCTCTGGGCCCTGCTCTGACTGCACCTCATATTTTTCTGCCCCTCTCTTTGCAGTCACACTGACCTTCTTCCTGGTCCTTCCCACCACAGGCCCTTCCTCTTGACTCTCTTGAATGCCTTTTAACCTGAATGTCCACTGCTTCCAGCCAGAGTGGGTAGCCTTTGGCAGGAAGCAGCCTGGAGAGGGACCAAATTTTTCTACAGATTGACTCTCACATCTGAATTCCCTCCCACAGGATTTTTGCCTGCACTCTTCCAGCTGCAGGAGGGAGAGTTGATTCTCATAAGCAATGAGCAATGTGCAGCAGAGTATATGCATCCATCTGGTGTACAGGACCCCAGTGAATTTCAGGTAAAGGAAGACATGTTGTGTGCTGCAGAATATAGAATGGGGAGATCTATCTGCAGAGTAAGTGAGGTCTCTCAGACTTGACACTGAGCTGGGCCACCCCTTTACTCCTGCAGTGGCTGTATCCCCTCCCTCTGTGTCTTCTCTGTACTCTGCCCCAGCCTCTTTTCTGAAATCTTCCTGAGCCCAATGCAGGCTGAGATGTCAGAGTCCCTAAAGAGCACCAGCCCATTTCATCTATTTTCTTTGTATCTTAAAAAAAATGTTCAAGTATAGCATGCAAAGAAAAGGGCTAAGTTTGTACTATTTGATGAATTTTTTAGAGCTCAATACATTCATGCAACCAGCACCCAAAGGGCCATACTTATGCCTTTGTCCTATCACTACCTTCCCCCAGTATCCTATCCTAGCTTCTAAAGCACCATGGCTTTGTGCTACGACTTAATATGAATGCAAATCGTAGAGGATGTGGGCTTTTACCTTATCTTTTTTTCAGTCAGCATTGTTTGTGACATTTATCCACTTACTATGTGAGTAGACCTCAATTGTATTCATCCCTTCTTGTGTAGGTAGCCTTTGGGGCAGGGTATCTGTGTCTGCACACACCCTTTCCTGCTCCCTTGACTCTCACCTTTGCCTCAGCCCACTCTACCATGCTTTTTGGTGCACATCCTCTATTAGATGCTACAGACAGCCCTACCTGGTCCCCTGCTCCCTTCCCTCTTTTTTGGGGGACCAGAGTCTACTGCTCCACACTCAGCCTGATGTTCTTGCCTTACATTTTAAACACGGATAGAGAGAAAGGATCAAACAGCACAAATCTTGCATGCTGACCATTTCCTGCTAGTCATTACCATTCCTTCTCCTACAATCTGGCCTGGACAGTTCTGGAGTCTGCTGCTGGCCTTGCCCCAGCAGTCCTAGAACATCCATTCAGAACATATACCAGATCCCCTTGCATTCCACTGAGGGTCTCCCTGTCCCAGCCCATGGTTGGCCATACTCAGGGCTCACTCTTCCCTCCAGTCTTGGCCCAGGGAAGCTCTCTGATGGCCCAGTTGGTGCTGTCCCTCTGGGGCTCTTCCTGTCCCCTCTGCTGCCCCCTTTGCACACATCATGTACCCAGGTGAGCCTCCTTGTCTCCTGAAATACCACATGAGCACAAAGGTTGCTCAGATATGATATTTAACAGATGGCTGGAGGGCGCTATGCTTCTGCAGGTCTGACATCTTGGCCTATGAGTTGAGAGTATTTTACCTGTGAAGCCTGTGACCTTTCTATCTTTGGGACCTTGTTGCACAAGCAGTCTCCACAAAGCTTTTGAAGCCCCAGGAGCGTTCCGGTGGCCCAAGCAGCAACTTTTTGTTTATTAAATTATTTTATTAGTACATTGTAGGTATACAACACAATTACATTTCTCGTTGGGAATTGTACCTTTACATAATGCATCTTGGTTCTTATTTTTCCCCCATTCCTACCCCCCCACACACACCCTCTCCACCCTTCCCTATTTACAAAGACTTTATTTCCATTTTTTCCATTTCTCATCATTTTTCCTTTCCCTTCTTTCCT